GGGAGCGATGGAAAGAGAACACAGGCACTCTGCAGGAGGGGCAGAGGCAAAGGGAGAGAGAATCTCAAGCAGACTCTATGCAGAGCCGGGAGCCACACTCAAGGCTCCATGTCACCACTCTGAGATCACAACCTGAGCTCAAACCAAGAGTCCCAAGCTTAACCAGCTGGGCCCCCCAGGTGCCCCAACAGTTGAACATTTTTAAATGTTCAATGTTTATCCTGACTTCTTAAACTCAACATGATCAAAATGTAATACATTATACTGTGTTATGCTCTCAACCCACTGAGTGTAGCTGCTTACCTCTGTGTCTGTGTTTATTGTTATTCTTATTGATATCCTTTGTTTTAAAATCAGTATCCCAACCACCACTCCCTTCTTTGAAAGCTCCCTTCAGTGCCCTAGGGTTATCCTAGCAAGTCTCTGAGCCCTGTCCTTGGGGTCCACAAAGAATCATGTGGCTTGTGTTTGGTCACCAGCGTTTAGCCCCTGCCTCCACCCCCACCTCACATCCCTAGGCTGGTATCTTTGTTGTTATCATCCACAATTCACCAAGGACTTTAGGCATTTTGAGTCAAATGTCACCAAGCAGCTTAACAGTAGAGCAGAGAGCCCCAAGAAGGTCGAGAAGAAGTTTTAACAGCCGACTGGCTGAGGCCTCAGAAAAGAAAACATGAAAGTGATTTGTGCTGACACAAGTGCATGAGAACAGTGTTATTTAATCCCTGGTCAGGAACACTTTTCATTAGGTGTGTGCTTGCCGTGGAACTGGGCATTTGTGGAGGTTCAGCCTATCCGTAGTAGTGAAGCTTCATTTCATCGAAGCCTCCTCGGTCCCATGGACAGTGGGTAGTTCCCTAGTGTGGCATCCTACCCGGTTATCAGATTTTACATCTGAAGGTTTTTCCAATTTATTCAGCTAATACCCATTACACATCTAATGTTATACTCTGTTCCTTGTTATAGCAGATTAACTCATGGTATAAAAGTGAGTTCAAGGGCCCCTGGGTGGCTCAGTGGGTTAAAGCCTCTGCCTTCAGTTCAGGTCATGATCCCAGGATCCTGGGATCCAGCCCCACGTCAGGCTGTCTGCTTGGCAGGGAGCCTGCTTCCTCCTGTCTCTTTGCCTGCCTCTCTGCCTGTTTGTGATCTCTGTCTGTCAAATGAATAAATAAAATCTTGAAAAAAAAAAAAAGTGAATTCAAGAATATGCCTTCTTTGCCCCCGAATTATTTTCCCACAGCTGCTTCCCAAAGCCCAAGGCAATATTACCCAAGTACAATATGTAATAGACAATTCTATGGACTATCCTGCATTTGTATTGTTAACATTTCCCATGTCTTGGTTTTTTTCTCTACTAAGCAAAATCTCTCCATTGTTAGCAGGATAACTGAATGGTTAAAACAAAACAAAACAAAACAAAAACTTTTAACTTAAGCATATTTTTTTCCATTGGACTTTGGTCGCTGTTTAAAGAAAGCATTTAGCAATATAATTAAAAGTAATTTAAATAGCTAATTAGACAATGTTATAATTTCCAGTAATAGATTCCTTTAAACAAAACATCCATCATTTAGGAGTACAATTTATCACTGGGTTACTGATACAAATGCAATTATATGTTAAATGGAAGAAAGCATCCACAAATCAACTCAGGCTCTCTGTAAAAATTGCCAAATACATAACTTTTGTGTAATTCTTACAGGGTCAAAGAGATACATGGAAAATTTTGGCCTCCACATTTTAGTTGGCTTTGCAACTGTCTAGTGTCTGGTTCTAAATCATATTTTTGACAGTTAAGAACCAGAATAAAGCTTTCTCTATGTATACGTTTTGACAAAACTTGACTGATGCATTTAATTAAGCAAATTGTCCACTAAGTCAAACAAATGCTGTAAGTGTATGATTTGCTTATTTGTTTTGTTTTCTTCTTAAATTAACTCATTTTTAAACTTAATTTAACTTAATTGTTTAAGTTAAAATATAGCCAGATCAATTCAATGTTTGGAAGCACTTTCAATGTTATTTTTAAAAATAGTTATACCAAAGTTAAGAAACAAATTGCCTTTTAGCAAATGTTAAAAAATGTCCTGGAAAATTCTGATTTGGAAAACCTTTTATTAAAACCGAAAATAAAAACCAAATCAACAGAAACAACCTCTGTAATTCCATACCTAAGTCATGAAACTGGATCCCCAAATTGGAATACTTTTATTATTCAGTGATTCCATTACTTAAAATACTAAATACATTAATGAAAATATCTTTATCCTTGAAAATGAAAACTGAAATCTCACTTTTTTTTTAGAAACCTCATTATTAAAAAGAACTTCATGTTTAAACAACCATCTAATTTCAGATGATAGATAAATAAGGATATTTTATTTTATTTTAAGAAAAATATAAATGAATATTTCAGAAATTCAGTGTCTCTCTATTGTGGGAATACCCTGTCAAAATGTTGACTCAAGAGCAAACTAAAAATAATGTTACAACCAACCTCTAATTATGTTAACTCTCTGATGAATGATATGGATGCACTAGATTCTTCTGTGTGTATATGTGTGTGTGTGAGAGAGACAGAGCAAACAAGATGTTGAATAACATCCAGCATGGAATTACTTGAATGTGCTGTTCGTGAACTCTTAAGGTACCTGCTCAGAAGTTGTACATGCAGTGTATGGTACAGTTATAGCTTTTCCAAAACATTGTAGAAATGAGGTGAAAACTATCATTCTCAATTTTTGAAATAATCGTATGGTTTCACAAACCAAATCAATTTATTTTTTTAAAGGTTATCTATTTTTTGAGACAGAAAGTGAGCTAGAGAGCATGAGCAGGGGCAGAGGGAGAGGGAGAAGCAGACTCCCTACTGAGCAGAGACCCAAGGTGTGGCTCGATTTCAGGACTCAAGTATAGTGAGCTGAGCCCAAGGTGATGCTTAACCAACAGGCACCCCAGCGCCCCCCAAATCAATATTTATGTTAAGTTTCAAGTGAAAATATTTATAGCAACAAAATTTCTTTCTCTACCTCCTCTCTATTTTCACTTCATTGTTTCTCCTCCCTTCTTTTTTCACATTTTATGCTTTGTAAAAAAGTCACAAGAAAAGTTGCATATATTTATTTAAATTCATATTTTATATATGTACACATTAGTGAGTTAAATATTAATACATATTTATAGCTTTCATGTGTGTATCTCTATAATTATTCCTATTATGTGGAAATCAACTTAGTAGATGATTGGTAAACATAATTTAGAATTTCAGTTTTATGCTTTTAAAAGAAAACTTGAGTTTTTACAATTAAACATTTGACTTTCTTCCTACTGATTATGTTCACAGTCTTGGAGTGGGAAACATAAATTTGACATGAAATGATGGGTAATTCCCTGTGTAAAAATGAGATATATATAGATGTTCAGCAAACATCTAAAATCAACAAACTAAAAGAACATATTTGCCACAAATATAAAGTACCAATTTTTAAAAAATTTTCTTGTTAAACAAAGAACTTTTACAATAGTGAACCATGTATAAATGTAAGCAAGCAATTCATAAATAAAAGGAATGTGAAAGGCTGATGAACATGAAAATATATTTCATTGTACAAATAGAACACTGAAAAATTTGTAAGAAGGATATTGTATCACTATTTGTCTACTACATTAGCAAAATTTAAGGGAATTGGTAATATGTTGTTTTGAAATGAAAGGTGCTATTGGTAGAACTATACCTATTTATTAAGTTTTTTAGATATCTAGTTGTTGATTTTTGCCAAGCTTGAAATATATTTTCCCTTTGGTCCATCAGTTTCATTTATAAAAATATACTATAAAATATATTTGGTTTTCTAAAATATTTTAGCTATGGTACACAAATATTTTTATACTTCCTTACAGTACTATGACAAAAACACATGGACATTCCCAAATGCTCATCAACGTAAGATATATTATATAAGGGTTATAGGTATATAAAAGGCAGCCATTAAAAATGAGGACTACAATACAGAAATGAAAAGACATGTTCATTAAAGGAATAAATAAAATAAATCAAGGTATCAAACAACATGTGTAGTGTAATACTACCTGAATGAACTATAAAGAAGGGTAGGAGGAAACATATAATGTCTATTTGTTTTTCTATAGAAAATTCTAATAGGAGGGTCACCGCAATGCTAACTGGTTATCTCTTGACAGTGGGAGAGAGTGTGTGGAGAGAGCTGAAGGAAAATTTAATTTTTCTCCATATAAATCTCTATTTTCCTAAAGAACACTTATTATCAGTGTAATTACATAATAAAGTATACTGATTATGTTAATTAATACTAAAAAATGAAACCATGTTTTAAAATGAAAATAGAATCCTTAAGATATATAAATTCAACAAAAATGTGATTTTGTTGGATGACTCAGTGGTTAAGCATCTACCTTTGGCTCTCGTCATGATCCCAGTGTCCTGGGATGGCACCCTGCCTGGGGCTCCCTGCTCAGTGGGGAGGCTGCGTCTCCCTATCTCTTTGGTGTTCCCCTGCTTGTGCTTTCTCTCTGTCTCCCTCTTCCTCTGTCAAATAAATAAATAAAATATTTTTTAAAAATGCAATTTTTGGTAATAGGTTCCATAAAACAAAATGAAACAAGGCACACACAATACCCCTGAGGTTTTCCTAAGAATCTCTACACACTCGATAATATTTCTACATAGACTTTACCTCATATACCAGCCAAAGTTTTAGAAAATCTGAGTGTTCTTTTTCTTTTATTTATAAGAAAACTGTGTTAGGTAAGGTTTTATGAAATAGCTATTACTCTGAGATTTTTAAAGATCTTGTAAAGTTACTAAAGTGAAAAATATTCTATTTTAATTAAAATTGTTAATTGCAACTGGTTTGTTTTTTGGTATTAGTTTATCCCAAACACTGGAAAAGCAAACACATGTACTTTTCCTTCGTATGTAATAAAGATGACTTAATAGTTCTTCCTCCTCCTTCCGGTAGCTTTCAGCCGTGCCCCAATTCCGATGGCTGTGGTCCGCAGAGAGCTCTCCTGTGAGAGCTACCCCATAGAGCTCCGCTGTCCAGGAACAGATGTCATCATGATAGAAAGTGCCAACTATGGAAGGACTGATGACAAAATTTGTGACTCTGACCCTGCTCAGATGGAGAACATACGATGCTATCTGCCAGATGCCTATAAGATTATGTCTCAAAGGTATGATACTTCTAATATTCTTTTTTGTGTGTACATTTAGTATAAATTCTTAACCATGAGTCTGTGTGACATACTGAGCATAGGTAAGAACACAAATAGCATTATATATTTTAGAATAATTTGAGCTACTTTTTCAATTTAACTGGTTTCCCATATCACTAAAATGCTAGCATTAGAGATTGCAAATGGCATTTGGAAATTATTAAAATTTATTAGATTATTATTAAGTTTGATGATGTACTCTGACTTCTCCAGAACTGGACTCAATAGCTAAAAAACTAAATTTATTTTTCACAGTTTCCAAAACAGACTTTTGTAATTTTCTCCAGAAATTACAGAAAAATTATTTTACTGCTAATAAATATTTTCTGTCAGTGTATGAAAAAAATAAAAGTTAATAGATAATTTTTATAACCATTAATCAAAGTGTAATAAAAGACTATTGATTAATGATTATTTGGCCTTGAAAAACAATGAAAAAGTATTATTTTGTTATCTAGTATATAATGTAATTCATTTAAGCTATTCAAAATATTACCATATTCAAATAATATAACTTGTTATCATATAATATCACTGGATAAGGAAAAGAAGTTCTTCAATTCTAACAAAACTGGTCAATGGGAATCCATACTATGGAAGGTTTAAATTATACTAAGATTTCTTGATAAATTAGCTAAATATTTTATATATATATATATATATATCTTAAATATTTGTTCAATATTACTATGATTTCTTAGAAATTAGTAAAGTCATTCATTTACTATAAGCCTTCATATTTTCTGACTAAATATGCTCACAAAGTAATTTTAAAATAATGAATAAATTACTTATTTAGTAAATTATTTTTTTCAGTAGGATTTCTACTTAGCCAATTATTTTCTTCTATTATTTAAGGAGTTCTTAAAATATAGGGGAAATCATGGCATATGTAAAAATCAACAAAGTCAAGTATATAAAACAAGAACCATAGTTCTCAAGGCTTATCTTTCTTGTGCTTGAGAAAGCCTGCATTATTTTTAGCTTTTTGTCTAAAATTCTGATGACTAAAATGCTGATATGTATCTTTTTGTATGATTAATATATTGATAGTATCTTCTTTTTATAAATAATTGTATAAATTGTTACTAGAAATTATAACATGCCCAGTTTTTGATGATCAAAACATCTGTAGTATACTTGAAGGATGATGGTCTCTCTGGGCAAATCTGAGGGCTTTTGTTTGTCTATTTCTAAAATGCTAACTCATGCTATGGTGAATATTAATGAGAAATAAGGTTTTTATATTGGGGATTCCATGTGATAGAAGTTTGGTTGCATTTGGTTCTTCTTGTGTGTCTCTTTCATTGTTATATCTCATTTTGTGTCTCTTCTTGTTACACATTTGACATGCCTCCAACTATGGTTAAATTCTCTGATGTTATGCCTAAAAGAAATCTAATTAATTCATGATGTGTAGGTGTTATAATGGTGTCTGTCCTGAGTGGTTTTCCATGTGGAGTATGAATGAGCATTAAGACTAAATGGTTATTTTATTTATTTCTGCCAGACCCAACAAATAAAAAAAATAGATTCTTTGAATCCATTTGAGGTGTGAGTTGAGGAGGAAATTCTGCTTTTCTGTGATTAGCTTTTCATTTTAAATGTGGCAGAACCATTAACTTTAGTAGCTCTTTGATCTCTTTATGATTTTCATTGAAATTGTTTTTATCCTCTTATTGATATTATTAATGGCTCCCCAAATAAGCCCTTAATCTTATAATTATTGCAAAAAATAGTTACAATGGATCCTCTCAAGCTGCTGAATTATATGGGATGTGTCTGTAAAGTGACAAATCTGAAGAGTAAAATTGCTTTAGGCACCCTGAGTGAATCATTTGTGGAAGCCCCCTGGTGGTTTCTCAAGTAAGAATTGTCAGCTCAAATAACTGTGGTTAATTCTGCATGGAGGCGAATTCCTTGGTTGTATTTGGACTGCTAAATATACTACATTTATACTTGCCCAAATTAAATGCTTTTGACTCTTAGAAGAAATCAGGTTCCATCTTGTAAATTCCCAAGAGATGAGATGGCCACGTCTGCTTCAGCTGCTTTATAATTAATGAACTTTCACTGTTTTGCCAGTGACAGCATATTAAATAATGCTAATAATTTCTAATTATGATGTGGATGTATCATAATAATAATACGGAGAGTTTCAGTGATCCAATTGAATTTAGATTATAATGGGGAAACTTTTCTAAGAGATATTTAGATAGTTACTGTTTTCACTCATTTAAAGTTCTAGAAATACATTGTATCAGTGTCTACACATTTTTAAGTGTGTCTCTGGATCGGAGAATTATATTACAAAATACAAAATGTTTTCGTGTATCCTTGTATAACCTTGTTAAACAGCCTTTGTAACTCGCTTCACCCTCATAAATTAGATGTGTCATAGGCAAGGACAGACATGAAATAGTTTTCATGTAGATGTTTGAATACACATTGAACAAATACATAAATAAAACTGTATAATAAAATGTTAGTTTTGTATGAAAAACTGGGGACTTGCATCAAAAGCGGATGGCACGTAATGTCCATATTTTTCCCCAGTAGAACTTTGCCGTCTGAAACCTTCTCTAGAGGAACCAGACCCTTCACTGTCTGGTGGATGACACCTCGTTTTCTCAAATTCAAGTGTGTTCTGTCGCCATTTTGCCCGCATTCCCTCTGGAAGTTCTGTGCTTTTCCTCTTCTTTCGTTATCCTACTAGAAGACTTATTAAAATGTCAGAACACATTTCCTTATCCTTCTCAGAACTTCTGTTTTCACTCCCTTGTTAACGTCTGCATCCTTCTTTATTGCCCCTAAACATTACTGCACCCGCGTTATCACACCCCAGAGACGTCTTGTCTAAAGTAAATTGTCGGCTTCTAGAGGGCAGACCTTCTGTTGATTTTACCTAAAACTACTTTCTGATGTTTAATGGTGTGTAAATAAATAACTAAATGTGCTCTCTGATGGTGTCATGCCACTTAAAATCTTAATTCTATTATCTGAGTGATTTTTGTTCTTTCTATTTTACATTTATACGTTTCAGAGATTTGAAAAATGGTACATAGAGCTTTAGAACCTAAATGTGAAAAATGACTGTTGGCAACTGATAACTGCAAAAATTTTACATTTTGAATGCAGCTGAGGTTTCGCGTTATCTTCAGCTATTAATGGAAATATTTCCATTTTTAACTCCACCAACACTTGAAATTCTGCAACGTGCAGTGCCCCGTGACAACTTTGGAGTTTGGTGGATGAATAAGCCAGGCATGGTTCCTGCCCACACACCTATAGCTTTTTGGCAGATAATACACAAACAGCTAGATTATTTGCTCAGTGTTTTATTTTTACATCATTTATGTTTATTGAGGAGTTGAAAAAAAGGAGGAAAGCTCTTTTGGCCAGATAATATTAAAGAGTGTTCACTGGAAGGGAAGGTTCAGCTGGTCCTTGAAGGATGGCAACATTGGTGGAACCAGAAGAGACAAAAGTGATACTAGATTTATAATATATTAGATATATAAGATATATTAGGCATATAAGGTACCCAAAAGAGCATGAGGGGACAGATTCCCTTCAATGACCCCTTACCCAACCTCTTCTGCCATGGCTTCCAAAGCTTATTGGTGCCTGCTCTGCACCATCTAGTCTCTCCAAAGCCTCTTTGAAATGTGCCACTTCCTGAGGCCAGCACCCCACCAACCTCCCCACCGACTGAGTTCACATGCTCTTAAGAAACCTCTATAAATTGATGATAAACTAGCTTCATGCTATCCCCGTTGTCAGTACAAAGTCCTGTTGGAGTTCTTCTTAGTAGTTGGACAAAAACTCCATCTAAATGTGGGAAGTTTGAGTATCATATGACTTCCTTGTGCCATCTTTTTGGACACGTATTTTAAATATGTGGTGTAACAGTATTACTTTATGTGGAATTGCTTCTATTATTCAAATTGAAAAGGCATTTGTGAACAGGTATATATGTATGTGTATATAGTATACATTTATTGAGGTATAATACACATATGGAAAATTGCACATATCATAAATATCTATAACTCAGTGGATTTTCACAAACCAAGCTCTGGTTAAGACATAGAACATTAGCAGCATCTCAAAGGTATTCCTTTAAACTCTGCACCAGCCATACTCCACCCCTGCCCCAAGTTTTACTGCTGTTGAGCTTCTAATACCTTGTTTTGCCCATTTTACAATTTAAATATATGAATTCATATAGCATATGTTTTTTGGTGTCTGGCTTCTCTCATTCATTACATTCATTTATATATATAATATTGTTGAGACATTTTTCTATATCATGTATTGTATATCATATTTTATATATCATATAACATATATATCGTATAATCCACTCACTTGAAGTATAATGATATTTTAAGTAAATTTGCCAGTTTACCAAGTGATGCAACATCACCATAAATCAGTTTTAGAATATTTCCAACACCACATTAAGATCCTGATTCCCATTACTGATAACGCCCCATCTCCTTCCCACACTACACAATGATAAATACATTTTCTGTCTATATGTCATTGTTTTAAGCTAAAAATTGAATGTTTTAAAAAGATTTTATTTATTTATTTGACAGGCAGAGATCACAAGTAGGCAGAGAGGTTGGGGGGGGATCAGGCTTCCTGCTGAGCAGAAAGCCTGATGTGGGGCTCGATCCCAGGACCCTGGGATCATGACCTGAGCCCAAGGCAGAGGCTTTAACCCACTGAGCTACCCAGGCGCCCAAAAGTGAATTTTTAAAATCAGATTAGATTTAGTGGGGATTTCAGTGGGTACAGTATCAAAGAAATAGCAGTTATTTCTGGAAACATGGATATAAATATGTTTCTTGCGTCTTGAATTCTTTTGGAATCAAAGATCATAATCTAGACATTTAACAAATGCACTCTTTAGAGTTTTCTGTCAAGTAGAGATGTTAAATATGTGAAGT